TGTACCAGGGATTGAACTCAGGACCTTGCAGTTATGAAGCAGACAGTGGAACTACTGAGCTAAATCCCTGGCCCTCTACTCACCTGATATTAAACTTCTACTTATGGACTCAGTGATCTATATGTTCATAGTTTAAAGTGTAGGCACAAAATAATGCCAAGAGTAAATGAGGACAGAGATACTAAGGTATGGGTTAAAACCCTATGGAGCCTTTAATTAGCAGACTGAAGGAGTAAGCTATATCTTGTTTACCTATGTTCCTAAGGTCATAGTAATAATAGAGAGAGAGAGTGTAGTACCATTGAAAGTTTCTTTCTTTAATGAAGATGGCTCCAGAGTCCAAGGAAGAACATCATATATAATTTGTAAGTCTGTTCAGTAGAATCTAAGTCAACTACTCTGAGACGATTGAGGAAAGAGGAGCTGAAAGATGGAAAGACCTCCCAGCTTCATATATTTCTTGATTTCATTCATTCAGCAAGTGTTTAAAAATGAATATCTGTCATTCATTGCTTCAGTATCATGTATATATCAATTGGATACATTCTAGCAAGGGAGCAGGCAGAAGAGGGAGGAGCACGGGCAGGATAGAGGAAGCAGACAATAGTGAAATTAATATACTTTATGGTATATTAGGAAGGGATAAGTGCTACTAGAGAACACTGAAACTAGAGCAAGATAAGAGAGTAATAGTGTGAGGGGTGCAGATGGACAGTAGTTGAAGAAACTTCAATACAAGTGAAGACTCGGGAAGAATTGGGCCAAGACTTGAAGGAGGAGGGGGAGCTGCCAAACATGCCTGTGGGACGAATGACAGAAGTGGAGGGGACAGGAGTGTAAATGCACTAAGGCAGAGTGTGTCTGACATGTCACAATTGTAGAGGAGAAGCAAGGCAGCCAGTATAGAGCTCAGAGGTAGCAAAGGGGACAACTGCAGGAGTTGAGGTTCTGGAGTAAACAGGTCCATATCCCTCAAGGCCTGGTAGACCAGTTTAAGGATTTTGATTTTTATTCTGATTAAAATGGAGATTTACTACAAAGTTTTGAATGAAAGAATGACAGGGTAGCTTTGTTTCAGTATATCACTGAGCTGCATTGTTGAAAATGGATAATGGGGGCAAAGGAAGAAGCAAGATAACATGCTAGAAGGTTATCAGAAAATCCAAATGAGAGATCAGGTGATTCAGACTAGTAGTGGAAGTGACAAGTAGCAAATGGATTCCGAGTAAAGTCTGGATTTTATGTGCCTTCAAAACTGACTTAATGCCACTCAAACAGTGGTTTCTATTCCTTTTTTTATGTTTTCACAAGACTGGGGATTGAGCCCAGGGCCTTGTCCATGCTAGCTACCACTGAGCTATACCAGCCTTCACCACCATCAGCACCCCTTTTTAAAAATTTTGAGACAAGGTCTTGCTAAGTTGTCCAGGCTGGCCTTGAACTTGGCAATCCTCCTTCCTGAGTAGATGGGCTTACAGGTATGTGCCACCACACTTGGGTTTTTATTCCAGTTTTGATCGTCTCAGAACATTGCTTTATTAAATTAAAGTCTGTTAATTCTACTTGATTTTTCTAAATTACTCTTTCATATTTCAATTAAGTCCATGTGAAAAATGATAGTTCTTTACTTCAAAGGCTGATGACCAGGATACCAGATATTATACATGAAATTACAGGGCAGGTAGGAGTCCTTAATTTCAGTTTAATCAAGAAGGTGGTAGCTGGGAGTGGTGACACACACCTGTAATTCCAGCACTCAGGAGGCTGAGGCAAGAGGATTACTGAGAGTTCAAAACCACCCTGGGTTACATAGTAACTTCAGAGCCAGTCTGAACTACAAAGCAAGATCCTGTCTCAAAAAAAAAAATGGTGTTTAGCTGGGCATAGTGGTACATGCCTGTATCCCGCACTGGGGAGGCTGAGGCACAAGTTCAAGGCCAGCTTAAATTGCATAGTGAGAACTTGTCTCAAAAAAAAAAAAAAAGTGTTGGCAGAAATAGAGACACACGCTTTAAAGTTGATAGGTTCAAAAAGAAAGCAAGTACATTTATAGAATAGTATGGATCAGTTCTCAAGTGATAACATTTGTATATGAGAGATATGAGATGAAGATAAATATTAGTTTGAATAAATTATAGAAGTTCCCTAATTCGGGTATCCTTATCTATAAGATGGGTACAGTATTTGGTAAGGTGACAATCAGAAACAAAAATGAGAAAGCAAGTGTGAAAATGTTGCAACTGAGTGATGTGACTGAAAGAGGAGGGAAACCTGGAGATTATCTCTTTGAGTAAGAACTCTGCCATCTAGCCAGAGGGATAATATAAATGTTCCTTTTTTAACAACCCTACCTGCTTAGTGACGGTTTGGACTACTTTTTTTGGGGTACAGTTCTGTGCATCTTGTTGATAGAGCTTCAGTGTCTTTTTGTACAGTACACTTGTTTATCCAATACTGTAATTTTTAGGCTTCTTTGTTTGCTACTGGGGATCAAAGTCAGGACCTTGCATTTACAAGGCAGGGGGCAGAACCACTGAACTAAATCCCCAGCCCTCCAGTACTGTAATTTTTGCTGACTATACTGTATAGTACAGTACTGTAGTTTTATGTTCTGTTATACATCACAGATTATGCATTACATATATATAGTGCATGTAAGAGTTATGCAAATAAAAGCAAAGTCATTAAGTCGGAGTTTCCTTTGACCATTTCTTTGTTCTGAATATTGTATTGTACATAGCCACCAATTTATTTAATGATCTAGGTGGAGGAGCATAAGTTGATTATTCAAAGAGGACTGCCTGTAGCCTATTGTATTTTAGGCATGTTCACTAAGCATGTTGTGCAAATAAACACAGCATTCATGAAAGGATAAATGTCTTCAAAATATGTATTATTTCTAAAATGTCTGATATTGGGGAAAATACCTGACATGTTTTGGATATTGAGGCAAAACAGGCAATTTCTGTTTTGCCTCAGTATCCAAAAAGAATATGGTTTGCCTGTTTTGATACAGAAAGGAATGATTTGGAGCAAGGTCTTTTGAGACCCATTGATCATACACCATACAGGCAGAATAGCTGTGCCAAAGGGTAGAAAAATTTATCAGTGCCCTCTTTTATTGGGCTCACTTCTACGGACTATTTGCTTCCAAGAGTTCCTCAGGTGATAATGAAACTGATTCATTTGGAGTTAAATAAATTCTCAGATATAAACAAACTCTTTAGAAGTTGTATTACCTTTAAAATTTTTTGATATGTAGAAATGTCTCAATCAAATGGGTGCACAAATTGTATATATGCTTCTGAATCACAGGAAACAATTCAACAATTAAATTATCACTGTCATTCTTGGCTCTGTGATTGTTTTATGTATTTAATTTTTGTCTTACATTCCTGGCTAGTAAGCTCCTTTATTACATACTTTTTATGTTTTTCTATCCTCTAAGGTGTTTACTACAGAGGTAGACAGAGCAGTGGTTCTGTTAATGCCAGTTTCACTGTCAAGGATATTTGGCATTTCTAATGATTTTTACAGTCAAGCAGGTTCATGGTTCTGTGATATCTTAGCAGTAGTATTTTGGTTTCATTGGGCCCTTGCAATGACCTGCAGAAGCTCCTTCATGAATGGGCCAATACTGCCCATCAGAATACAGATTCCAGGGCTGGAGATTTAGCTCAGTGGTGCCACACCTGCCTGGCAAGCACAGGTCCTGACCAGCTTCCAGCAATATCAACTGTATGATAAATGTAACTTTGAATAATTCATGAAAGCTGCAAAGATTCCAGGAAATGTCATGCGAAGAAATACAGGAACAGAAGCTTTAATTTGCTAAAGGTCATCAATGGATTACATCTTTTTTTTTTTATGGTACTGGGGATCAACTCAGGACCTTGTGCTTTCAAGGCAGGCACGGTGCCACTAAGCTGAATCCCCAGCCCTAAAATGTCTTAATTAGTATAGAACCTGAGCAATATGAACTAGGTAGTATAAACCATTATCATAAGTAATAAAGACCTAATGAACTGGGTGTGGTGGAGCACACCTGTAATCCTGGCATTCGAGAGGCTGAGGCAGGAGGATCTGTGAGTTCAAGCCCAGCCTGAACTACATAGAAATAGATACCCTGTCTCAAAAAACAAAACAAAAAGCCCCAAAAGACTTAATGAATCATTTTTTACCACTGTAAATATTTATAATAGAGGTTTCTTCATTGGCTAAATTTCATAAACAATAGTACATCTTACCTTTTTCTTTATTTCATGTTGACCCATGTCTTCTGATGACCTTTTGTGTAGCAGAGTATTTTTTCTTATAGTTTCAAATTCCTATTTAACTGTAAGGAGATTTTCATGAACTGGGTTCTTTCTCTGACATCCTCCTATGCTGACTGATTTCATTCACAGTGTGGTAGTTTCAGTGTTTCTCTTTCACAGCCTTGTAAGTTTGACCACTTATATAATTTTTACTTCTCCCCTATTTGAGATCTGTTGCATCCTGGTATTCCATGTGAATTTAAATTCAGAATAGGCAGTTTCAAAGTTTTAAAAAGGGTTGTTTCAGAAGTCCATACATGCTGGATTTTTTTTTTTTTGAGACAGGGTCTTGCTGTTTTATTCAGGTTGGCCTTGAACTTACAGCAATTCCCTTGCCTCAGCCTCCTGAGTACTAGGATTACAAACATGTGCTCACACATGTGCCACCATGCCTGGCTCATGCTGGATTTTTATAGCCACAGTGGCACATAGCTGTAAATGTCTGATACTCAGAAGGCTGAGGCAAGAGGATTGCAAATTCAAGGCCAGCTTGGGCAACTTAGGGAGACCCTGTCTCAACTTAAAAATGAGGCTGGGAGGCCGGGGATTTAGCTCAGTGGTTCCGCCACCTGCCTTGCAAGCACAAGGACTCGAGTTTGATCCCTAGTACCGAAAAAAAAAAAAAATGAGGCTGGGGGATACTTCAGTCATAAAATGCTTGCCTAGTATGGACAAGGTCCTGGGTTCAATCTTCACTATTGGAAAAAATATCAATTTATTAGGTGGTTGTTTGAGATTCATCACTATGGTTTCATAGAAATGTGGGGGTGAATGCTGGTTAGGTTCCATACCAACCCACAGACATCTATTCTACTTCCATGGCTCAAATAACACAAGGTACTAGCTTAACTTCTTCTGAGAACCAGCTATCATGTCATGAAGAAAGAGGACTCTTCCTCCTTCCCTGAGAGGCTAGCTCAGGGCAAATTTTTTAATTAGGTCAGGTTGATGTTTGACATCTCTTCTTTCCCTTATCCTCACTTTTCATTTTCAGGAATTTCTAAGAGCTACTGTTCCTAACTGCTGTGGGTCCTACAATGCATAGCACTACATTCACCCGCCCAGAGCACTGCAGGCTCCAAATTGACTTAAGCCCACCCATCACTACTGCCACTGACTCCAGCAGGCTGTCCACGAGTTAAGAGAAAACCAATCTGATTGACTTGATATAGAGTGATTGAAAGCCCAAAGTTCTGCTAGAGATTTTTGAGATTTTAAGAGATTTTGTCCACACATTGTCATCAGTGATATAATTTAATAATTTAGAAAATACAATAAAATGAGTGAAAAGTCATATAAGGTTATATAATTTAATATAGCTGGGCCATATCCTGAGAAACTACTCTCTCCAGTATAGTTTTTTAAAGTTCCCCCATTATTCTGCTTATGAGCCCCCAGTTTCTCTACAAGTGTCAAGTTTTATTTTTCTTGCAGTATATCAGCAGCATGTATGATTGCCTGTATGAAAAGAGCAACCACCTATACAGATCTATTGACAGAAACTACTTGAACAGAAGAATTCATGGGAGAAGGAAAGGAGAGTAGAAGCAGAGAAACTTGAGGCTAAAATCAAGAGCCACTGCCAAATCAGCCACGGTGGTGCATGCCTATAATTCCAACATTCAGGAGTCTGAGGCATGCTGTTCATGAGTTCGAGGTCAGCCTGAACTATAATGTGTTCTAAGAAAAATAAAAAATAAAAAAGGAACTCTTAACCACTAGTTATGGGAGAACAAGAATGCAAAGTGTGGTGAGACAGGGCCGGGGGTGTATGTAGCTCAGTGGTGGAGCATGTACTCAGCATGTGCAAGACTCTGGGTTCAGTCTGTAACACCACACACACATACACAAATTTGTGCATGTGGATATGGAACAAACCTATAGGATACATTATTAAATGAAAAAAAAAGAAGAACAAGGTGCAAAGCACTGTGTATGGATGGGCATGGTGACACAGGCCTGTAATCCCAGCACTTATCCTAGGCTAAATAGCAAGACCCTGTCTCAAAAAATTTTTCTTAAATAAGACGACCCCCCGTCACTGAAACCATTCTGTACAGTATGCTAGCCTTAATGCTTTAAAAATACATGCATCCATATATGCTTAGAGTATTTCTGGAAGGAAATATAGTAAGTTGGTAATAGTGGCTCCCTCAAAGAGAGAAAAATGGAAGATCAACAAACAGGAGAAGGAGGGAAACAAAATCTGTAAATCTGTACTGTTTGAATATTTGACTGTATGAATTTAAGACTTTTTTTTTTTTTTCCGGTACCAGGAATCAAACTCGGGTCCTTGCGCTTGTGAAGCAGACGCCGAAACCACTGAACTAAATTCCCAGCCTAAGACTTTTTTTTTTCTCGTGTTGAGGATTGAACCCAGGGCCTTGCACATATTAGGCAAGCACTCTTTCCACTGAATCACACTCTCAGCACTACTGTGTGCATTGAAAAGAAATGAAATTTTTAAAAAATTTTCAAAAGAAGACTCATCAAAAATGCAGATTGTATGAAAATCACAGGATACCAGAGCTAGAAGTGACCTTAGAGATTAGAAAACTGATTTTTCAGGATATAGATTTGCCCAAGGAGATTAACCTACTTCCTTTTGGCATTAGCACCTACCACCATCAAGCTTGCCAAATAAAACTTAGTGTCTACCCCCATCTCCTTTTCCAGTCTCATCTCTGCCTGTTTGGAGAGATCCAGTGCAAAACTTAGATGTGAAGATTAGGTAACGGGTTGGAGAAACAGAGTTGTATCTGTGGGGAGCAGCAGAAACTGTCAGGTTCTTCAGAATATGCTTGGCCTCTGGCCTTCTGTCTGAGTATAAAAGGTTGATATGCACTTTGTTCCCAGAGCCAAGGTACTGCAGGATAGCCACAGTTTGATTTTGAGTGAATGTGTCCCTTTGGGCTTCTGTGTGAGCTTCTGGAAGGAGAGCCAGACAGAAGAATGAATCTTGTTCTTAATCTGAACAGTGCCCAGCTAACCTACTTGCATACATAATCTGTATGCCACCGCTTGTGGGCACAAGGGGGCAGGCCTGTAATCCCGGCTCTTCAGGAGGCTGAGGCAGTAGGATCACAAATTTGAGACTAGCCTGGGCAGTGAGCAAGACCCTATCTCAAACTAAAATAGAAAAGGCTGGAGATATAGCTTTAGAACCTCCTAGGTTCAACCCCCACTACCAGAAAACCTCCCAAAATAACATAAACTTCCATCGCTGCACTTTCCCATGTTTCAGTTCACTTCTTCCTCAGTATATATTTACGGTACTAAATATACAAGTCCTGCTTTTCTTTCATCCTGCCATAGGTCCCATGAAGATGGTAATTTAGCATAAGCAGATGGTTATAAATTGTTTTCTAGGTGCTGCCTTCTCTCTCTTCATGACCTCATTTGTTTGATCTATATAGACATACCTTAGGTAATCTGTTAATTTAAAAATTAGCTCCTATTCAATTCCCACTACTATAAAAAGAAAAAATTAGTTTCCAGAAAGCCTGGGGGATACAGATCTTTAAAATAGGATATTTGAGATCTGAGCTAACAAGGGAGAGATAAAGCTTATTTTATTTTATTTTGTTTTATATTTTTTTAAGACAAGGTCTTACTATATAGTCCAGGCTGGCCTTGAGCTCACTATGTAATACAGGCTGGCCTCAAACCTGCAATGATCCTCCTGCCTCAGCCTCACGAATGCTGGGATAACAGGTGTGTGCCACTACACCCAGCCAAGATAAAGCATCTTTTAAAGGTAAAAAACTCTTAGAATGGCAAAGTGATTTTCCAGAAAAGGTGTACTCCCCACCTTGCATTAGCAAGTCCCTTATGCTTCTCACATCCTTTGGGAAGAGCCCAGGCAGCTGTTCCACTTGGCAAGTGTTATCTCTGAGATCTGGGGTGGGATAGGGAGAAGAATTAGGATTTATTGGTACTTACTTATTAGAATTCTGGGCATTGGAGGGGGATACAAAATAATGAAGTTCCTGCTTATAAAACTTGAAACTGGGGAGATAAAACACTCCCTAAAAAAAAAAAGACTTTAAAACAGGCTAGTAGGAGTTAGCCTATTATAAAGAAAACTGAGGGCTGGGGATTTAGCTCAGTGGTACCACACCTGCCTCACAAGTGCAAGGTCCTGAGTTTGATCCCCACTATCAGGGAAAAAAAAAAGAAAAAAGAAAGAAAGAAAACTTAGTATCAATCTGTTACTGTTAGGAAATAGAAAAGTGAAAGAGTTAAGTAAAGTTACTAAATCAATGAAAGACTAGCCAACACATTCCCTCAAAAAATGCTTATTTTCTCTTCTCTCACCTATTCTATCTGCCTGCTGCATTAAGGAGAACTTTGGATTAAGTATTGCCTTGTAGTAGTATCTCTGTAGATTCCACAGAGCTGTAGGTCATATTTGTTTATACTTTTTGTAGTATCTATAGATTCTACAGAGCCCAAGGTCATAGTTATATATACTTTTTGGCATATGACTCAAAGGGCTTAGAACTTTTCTCAATTTGTAAAATTGGTTACTACTATACCTTAGGATATTTTGTCTTAACTCTTAATTGTAAAAATGAAATGCTTAGGAAACTGAAAAATAACATTTTATTTTATCTATTTATTCCTTTTTGGAGACAAGATCTCACTATGCAGTTAAGGCTGGCCTCAACTATGTAGCCCATGCTGGTTTCAAACTCAGCAATCGTCCTGCTTCAGCCTCCCAAGTGCTTGGATTGTAGGCATATGCCAACACGCCCAGCCAAAAAGTCACATTTTAAATAAACAATTACTAAAGAGTAGTAAAATAGTGCCATTCTACCCCGTATCACCTTTTCTCTCAGCTCTCCCCACCCAAGAACATCCTCATCTATTTGAATGTGCCACCTTATCAAAAAGGCAGCATTTTGTGAGAGCTTTATGAATTTTGGAATCTTATATGAGAACACTACCCAAATCTTGGCAGTACCTTCTTATAAAGAAAATTGTCTGACAGTGAAAGGATTTTTTTTGGGGGGTGGTACTGGGGATCGAACTCAGGACCTTGCGCTTGTGAGGCAAGTGGCGAAAACACTGAGCTAATCCCTGGCCCAGTGAAAGGATTTTTAACGCTATTTATGTGAGCCAAATAATGCATCACAATCTCTCTTGAGTTGAGTAAATTACAATCCTACTTAGAGTCAAGAGGATACATGGGATAACTTCTGGAAAATACCACTTGCTAGATACTGGCTAGATCCCTATCTGGTGGAAAAGACCCCAAATTCTTTCTAGGCCTCTCTTTGGATTTTCCATGATATTAGGCTAGAGAGGTACTTACCTTTCTCCTTTGAATCATAGGATGTAATGATTAGGCTGAAGACTAAGATGGTATTCATGTTAGCTTAAACACATGAGTTTGGACACTCTTCAAAAACAGTTCACTGTTAATCTGTCAGTCCCTGGAAGCCTTATTTCTAATTGCTTTTATTTTCACCCTGGGGGAGGCTGGTTCCACCCTAATTACTTTTGTTTTATTTCCTGAAGACCCAGAACTAGAGCTGAATGGAGAAACAGCCAGATCTGCTTATTAATGATTGACTTAGAAGGTCTTCTCCTGACTTTGTTGCTGGCACTGACATAGAGAACTATAATCACCTATTGGTTTTCCTAGCAGAAAGGGTATAACACCCAGTGATATGCTTTACAAACACTTGTAGTTAGACATGTAGTTATTTACATGCATGCTCTCTGATGCAGGCACATAGAGGGACTTACCAATATAAAGAAATGTGGTTATTTCTATTAAGGAGTATAATTTCTAGAATAGAGCAGGAGCATAGGACTAAATGCGTCAGTGACTTACACTGGAGTAACAATAGAATTGGGTTTCAGTATGAGTCCTGTTCTTAACCGTATCATCTTGAGGAAATTGACTTCTCAGGAGCTCAATTTTGTGTACACTGAAAAACCCCAAAGGATCTCTAGAATTCATTCGTAGTTATACACATAAACTCACATAAGCCCAACACAGTGGCACACACCTATAATCCCAACACTCGGGAAGCTGAGGTAGGAAGATCGCTGAGAGTTTGAGGCCAATATGGGCTTCACAGTGAGCTCAAGGCCAGTCTGAACTACACAGTGAGACCTTGTCTCACAGACAAACAGCATAAACTCACATGAGCAGAGACATACATAGGTATGGAGTTCCACTCCCGAATAGTGAAGGGAATGTGGTTAGAAACATTCCTGTGACTTGGACCAAGAGGTTTTGAGAAAGAGCTAAATACAATAGGTGAGAAATAGTGTCTGCAGTTAGGGAAACTTTTCATAGATAATTGCTGTTGAAGACTTTCCCAAAATTGTATCTTTTAGCAAAGTGTATACATCTATTGTAATACTTTAATGACTTTTTCATGGCATAGCTAAGTGGATCATAAAGGAAAAATGAATCTACTCAGATAACTGCCTAAAATCCAGAGCCTTTGGAGTTTTCCTGCCTGCTCTAAATGTACTCCTTTAGAGTCAACAAGGGATTATCTATGGATGAGAAGATTCTGAAAGTAGAAACTCTTAATTGAGAATGATATAAAGGGAGTTCAAAGAACTTCCCATGAGGGCTTCGTGAAACTTGAATCAATTCATAATTTAAATATCACCTTGTTTCCTAACACATTAATATAGATTTATATCTGGATAAGTTGAGCATCACAGTTTTGATGGGGAAAGATAAAGGCAAGAGATGTCACTGAAGGATAGCATGTTTGTTGGCTGAAATGTGGATGGAGGAGAGGAAGTGCTGGGCATGCAGCCCCAGTGCAAATCTTTATTGGTACTGTTTCTTTTTCCTGCTATAGTTGCTGGATTCTCTTAGTACAGAACGTAGTTAGGGCAGAAATGAAGGGCTCTATTGCCTTCCTGATTTTTTGAGAGGGGTACTGGAGATTGAATCCAGTTCCTTGAGATTGCTAGGTAAGCATTCTAGGGTTGTGCTACATCCTGGTGTTTTATTTTAGTTTTGTTTTTGGTACTGGGGATTGAACTCAGGACCTTGCGTTTGCAAGGCAGGCATGGCACCATTGAGCTCAATTCCAGACCTTTATTTTATTTTTAAAGACACGGTTTCCCTAAATTGGCTGGGCTGCCCTTGAAATTGTAGTCCTCCTGCATCAGCCTCCCAAATTGCCAGGATTAGAGGCATGTGCCACCACAGCCCACTGGGTATTATGATTTTTATTTGGTATTTCCTTAACATGATTACATATTTCTCTACTACTTTGCAGTATTGACACCTTCCTTGCTGTTGTCCTATCTAAAAATGTCTGTAGATTTTATTTCTAGATGCCACAGTGTGGTGCTGCCACCTTGTAGCAGAGGTAGAAGTGGATCTGAGAGTTCACTATTATCCTGTGTCACAAGGTGACAGAAGAACTCACTGTGCTGCACCTGGTGGCACAAGCCTAAAATTCCAAACTGAGGTAGGAGGATCACCACGAGTTTGAGGTCAGCCTGGGTTCCATATTGAGTTCAAGACCAGCCTGAACTACATAGTGATACCTTGTTTAAAAAAAGTGTGGGGGGAGGAAACACCTCACTTTACTCTAAAAAGAAGGTGTGATTGGCCAAAGAAAGTCAAAGAATTTTTCCTTTATCAACTCTCAGACCCTTTTTATTTTATAACTCAGAAACCCAAATATCCTGCCATACTGTGGGGTATAGAGAAGCAGGAGGGTTTCAATTTTCACTTTACAAATCAAAGTATCTACTGGTAGAGAAATAGACTCAGAACTGTTTATCTGCTGCTAGATATTTAGGCTGATTTTCTAAGTGTTCGGTGTATCTGTGGAGGAGAGGATTTCCTTCTGATCTCCTTTCCCACCCCCACTCCCCACAAAACCCATTAAAGTTAGGAGGAATAAAAGCTATAGCATAAGTGCATTTTACTATGTTTAGAGATGTAGCCTCTTTTGTTTTGTGGTACTGGGGATTGAACCCAGGGCCTCATGCATGTTAGGCATGGATCAGAATACAGAAGGAGCACTTGACAGAAAGCCAGGAAGCCTTATGAGGTTCTAGATTAGCTTTGGTAACTGAACCACTTTGAATAAGTCAGTTAACCTCTCTGGATGGGCCATTCTTCAATGAAGTGTTTGAAAGATGATTTCCAAGGCTTCCTCCAGCTCTAAAATGATCTTACCTCCATCCACACTGCTACTCTTTTTTTTAAGGGTACATTTTGTTTTGTTTTAAAAAAGTTTATGGTAGAATATACCATATATATAGAAAAGTATATACAATGCAAGTATATTTTAAGTAATAGCAAAAGTGATGTATTTACAAGGTGAATGCTGCATAACCATCATCCAAATTAAGAAACTAAACATTGCCAGTATCTTAGAAGCTCTTTTTATGTCTGTCCCTTTGCCCATACCCTTTTTCCTTCTCCAAACTATGATTTTTCTGTGCTTTGTAAAAATAGTGAACTGTGTATCACTAAAAATATGCTGCTTAATTTTCCTGCTTTTGATCATTATAGGAATTGAATCATATTCTATTTGTTATTATTATTTGGTACTGGGGATCAAACTCAGGACATTGCACTTGCCAGGAAGGTGTGGTGCCACTGAGCTACATCCCAGCCCCATCTATGTATTTTAATCAGGTCCTTGCACTTGCAAGGCAGGCCACTGAACCACTGAGCTAAATGCCCAGCCCAACAGTTTCATTTTTTTTTTTTTTTTTTTGGTACTGGGGATCGAACTTGGGTCCCTGCGCTTGCGAGGCAGGCGGCGGAACCACTGAGCTAAATCCCCGGCCAGTATTTTATTTTTAATTCATTCTCTCTCTCTTCCCTCTCTTCTCTTTCTCGTTTTGAGTCAGGGTCTCCCTATGTAGTAAGGTTGGCTTTGAATTCACTGTGTATCCCAGGCTGGACCTGAACTCTCAGTCCTCCTGCCTCAGCCTCCCAAGTGCTGGGATTAGAGGTACATAGTACCACACCCAGTTCATAATACTTTTCTCTGGTAACAGGGATTGAACTCCAGGACTTTGCACTTGTAAGGCAAGTGGCAGAACCATTGAGCTAAATCCCCAGCCCTTGCAATACATTTTAAAAATAATACATAGTAATTATACATATTTAGGGGATATATTGTAACATTTCAAAAACATGTATACGGGGCGGGGATTTAGCTCAGTGGTGTGGGATCCTGCCTGGCAACTGCAAGGTCCTGAATTTGATCCCTAGTACCAAAACAAAAAAACAAAAAACAAACAAAAACAAAAAACCATGTACAATGTGTAATGATCAGATCTGGGCAACTGGTGTGATATATATATATATATTTTTTTCAGACATTTTTCTTTGTCTTAAGACTATTCAAAATCCCCCTACTACGTTTTTTTAAATTTTATTTTTGTTCTGTTTAGTTTTTAGAGCTTTTGGTTAGGTCATTTAATCCAAACTACCTTACAAGGTAGCTTTTTTATTTTTTTCTTTTGAGATGGAGTCTCACCATGTAGTCCAGGCTGGCCTCAATCTCACAGCAACCCTCTTACTGAGCCTCCTGAGTACTGGGCTTATAGGCATGTGCTACCACACTCAGCTGCTTTTATATCTAATTTATAGACAATGAAAGAGACTCAGAAAGGGACTCAGAGCAAATAGAGACATAGTATGGATTTAAAGTCTAGTCTATTTTATCAAAGAGTTCAAGCTCTTTACTCACAAGGCACAACGAGGTATCTTTGGCTTAGAGAAACAGTTTTGAGTTCTTTATCTGTATTCATCCCTAAAATTTAGCCATTCAAATGATATAGCCACTACATTTGTAAGACGCAAAGTCTCACTTCCACTCCACGGAGCATGAACAACCAAAAAGGCCTCCACAATGTTGGGTCCTATAGCCCAACGAGGCTCCGGGAGCTCGACGGAGGAACGAGAAACCCAGGAAGGAACACACCAGGCTAGATGGTAAATAGACCTTTATTAGTCTGGCCAGACGGCACTCTCGGAACCAAGTAGCTGGCTCAGAGAGGCGCCAGCTCAGGGGCTGAGGTCCTTTTTATAGGGGAGTAAAAAATGTTAAATTTTAGGCTTGCAGGGAGGGGACAAAGGTCTGCTGATTTGAGCTGGTGGTCAGCAGCCACGTACTTGGCAGTCACATATTGATGAGTTAACAGATACCACCTATTATTGGATGTTTCAAAGTTTACCAAGACATCCTGGATGAGCAAACAGCTTGACAATTAGCTTGGGGTCTCTAGGTGTAGAGCCACTAACTTACACATTAATTTGGATCCGGACTTCAAACAGTACAAGATTGTCTTACATTCCTAGGCTAGGGTTAGAACAAAGATTGGGGCTATGGCTACAATGGGAGGGAGTTAGAGCACTGTCCCCTAGGCCCTTTGTCATTTAGCATGGGCTTGTAATTTAGGTCTTACACATTTATTGACTTAAAGTATGTATCTTTTCTTTTTTCATTGCATTTTGGTTATCTTCATTTTTTTTTTTTTCAGTGCTGAGGATCAAACCAGGGTCTTCAGCATGCAAGCAAGCACTCTGCAACTAAGCTACATCTCCAGTCTTCCTTTCTTCTTTTCTGTTTTCATTAAGAGAAGGGGTATACTGGCACAGCAGGTCTATTGAGAAATAAGAATTGTGTGATAGTTTTTTTTTACCTGTAGGTCTCTCAGTGCCCACCCCCCCATCATAATCACAGGCAGAAGCTAAAATCTAAGATTTGGTGATTACTCAGATTGTAACTAGAGACTGGAAGTGTTGGGATTGGATAATAAAGGGGGAGGGACTGCTCAAATGCCATGTGAAAACACAAGTAGCCCTTGCAAAAACTCTGATGTCCATGTGAAAACCTTGTGGACAGTAACCAATATAAACACTTTTCTTTGTTATGCAATCCTGTCTTTCACCATCAGGACCAGACCTAAAATGGTCTGCCTGAGGACATTTTCTGACCTTATAGTGTGAAGTTCTCTTAGACTCTTAACTCAGAGTAAACCTGAATGGTTGACCTGAACAAAGGGACATTGTGTTCAGATAAGGCCTTGGTGTCTTTTCCTTGTATCTTATGACAAGAGCCACATTTCTTGGCAAGGCACTGAGTTTCTTTATGAACTCTATCTTGTAAAGCAGCTAAGTATCCCGCTGGAGGCTTTGCCTCCCAGAGGCAATATGGAGGCTGATGAGCAGCCATCAGAAGCAGAGTCACCTCTAAGCTACTGCAAGAATCTTCATTTCAGTCATTGAAATACTTGTGATAGCTATACTTATTCCTACTCTAAGCTATAAAGAGGGGCACTAAACTATAAGAACTGTTCTGGGCCTTCAAGTTTGTTAAAATTTATCTGAACAGCTGAAACCAGTATGCACACACAAAATTATAGCCTAATTAAATGCTGAACTATGTGTTGACAACCATATAGCTATAAGAGATTAGAGGAGAAGTCAGGGTGGCCGGGTGCACTCTGTGAGGCTGAAGTAGGAATATTCCAAATTTGTCAATTTAGTGACTTATCAAGACCCTGTCTCAAAAGACAAAAGGTTGGACAGGATGTAGCTCAGTGTGAAGGCCCTAGGTTTCACCTCTAGTACCAAGGGGGAGAGTGGAAGAGAGAGGAAGGAGGAAGACATCAGTGGAAAATGGAGAAGATGGAATAAATGGGATTTCCAAGGACTAGAAAGATTCAGGAAAAATAGGAGGAAGTAAGGATAAGTCTGCCAGATTAAGCAAAGGTATAAGTACCAGAAGACAGATTAGTATGTGCGAATTAGGGGTCAGTGGGAAATAACATCTCAGTATTTTCTCTGTCCTTTTCTAAAGGCCTTGCTACTTAAAGAAATTTGGAGCTATGGTCAGACCGCCATTACAACAGGCTTCTTCACTGTTCCATTTTCTACTAAGGCACCTTCCTTTCTCCCTTGATTCAATTTAAGCCTGAAGCGATAGCCTTTCATACCTTGGAAATACAGGTATAGAAGGCATTGTAAGACAGTCTGGCAGCAAACAAGGGAACAATAATGATAAATCTTAAATTAGTGCTCTCAAACTTCAGAGTGAACAATTGCCATGGTAGCTTAAAAAAAGTCTGTTCAGGGCTGAGAATCAGTTTTTTTCAGTGCTGGGGATCAAATTCAGAGCCTTGTATATAGGCGTGCACCACTATGTCCCGCTTAAAATCTGCATTTTTAAGAAGCACCTTAGTGTTTCAGGAGTTCAGTGGAACATAACTTGAGAAGCACTGACCTAAAGTAGAATTTACAATAAAGGGCCAAATGGAGTTCCTTGGACAGTGACAAACATATATATGGGTTTATCCACTTTTCAGAATTTGTGCTCTCATCTATGGCTTTTACAAATTCACATAGCAATCATCTAAGGAGTGAAATGTAGAGTTTTAATAGTTTTGTATTCTGAAATAGAGTGTAATCACTTTAAAGACAAAAATCACTCAGACATTTCTGGCTTTAAAGTAGGGAAATAGACCACCTTTAATGTTGGAAGGTAGCTGTCATGCTCAAGATAAATCTTTGATACCTTTGTACAACAATCTTCCTGAACAACCTAGAAACCATTTGATATTTAGGACCTTGTATTAATTGGGGGGGGCTGGTGTAATAAGGTACAACACAGAAACAAGAAGAATTGCTTAAACAACAAAAATGGGTTTCTTCACATTTTGGGAGGCTAGAAGTCCAAGATAAGGTGTTGGCAGAGTTGTTTCTTCTGAGACTTTTTTCCTTGGGTTATAGTTGACTTCTCCCTGTCTTCACAGGCTCTTCCCTCTGTGTCTGTGTCTTAGTCTCTTATAAGTCATATTTTATTAGGGTCTATCCTAATGACTTTTTAAAAATTTAATTACATCTTTAAAGATTCTAATTCTACATATACTCATATTTTGAGGTATTGGCTATTAGGACTTCTGCACAGGAATATGGGGATACAATTCAGCCCATAAAAGTCCTCTGGTTTCAACTTCTGAAATATACTACTCACCCTCTTCTTTTCTACCTGTTAGTCTTATGTAGTAAGTTTTCTCTGTCCTTGGGCTCTACTCCTCTGCTGCCTCTTACAGACGTAATGGCTGTGTGGCAAGAATTCATGGAGCAGCTAGCTTCTTACGAAATTTGGAACTACAGTCAGACAGCCATTAGAACAGGATTTTTCACAGTTCCATTATGGGGATAAGCAGGTTTTGGCAGGCACCAATAACCCAACACTTAGGGGTTGCTGAGGACTGTCTTAAAGACAGTCTTAAAGAGCTTTTTGCCTTTTCTCTGCCCAGTTGTCTTAACATTTGATGGTAACATTAAATCCTTTGGAAGTGGTAAGGACAAATTAGAGTTCGTTCATAACTATCTTTATATCAAAAATAGGTTGAATGCTGTTGATTGCCATCCAATATAATGTAAAAACATTATCCTGTGTCCTTATCCACCTTAGTCACTAGATCTTGCATCATGGGATTCCTAGCTCTTCCCCAAAGTCAAAGACCATAAAAGTTAAGCATTTTGAAATGATTCGGGACATTGAAGCAGCCACAAAAACACAAAGACACGAAAGAGGACTTCTAGAACAGCTTCTGAAAATGGCAAGAACAATGGGATGTGTATTCAAAGTAAGGGGGAGTATTTTGATGAGGGAATTAATGGAAATGTCTTTTACTATAATGTTTAAAAATTTAAGTGCACATCGTATTAAAAAATTATTTTTGGACAGGCCTTGAACATTTTGATCCTTCTGACTCAGCCTGAGTATCTGGGTTCACAATTGTATGCCACAGGACAGGTTTTAATCAATTATGTCAAACATCTCATTAAACCAAGGAGTCTTGGTCAATTCAATTTTGTTGTTATGAGGTTTTACCTTCATCCAACTGACATTTATCCCAGTGATTCAATTACTCTAATATATGGGTCACTATTTTGTGAAATTCACATCTTCTTTCCAAGTTTCTGTTTCCAAATCCCTGTTCCTTCAAAAGTGGGCAAAATCACACTTATTCTCTTAGAGAAGCCACTATCTAATGGCGATCTGAGGGATCCTAGATATATATGTTCCTTCTTCATCAATCTTTTTTTCCTGCCTAGGTGTCCACCTAGCAACTTCTTACCTGAGTTGTGTAGTTCACTTCTTCCCGCCAAATGTCACCCTCCACATTTCTCCTGGCCTTCATCACAAGTTTAAGGATTAAGAAAATACACTGTGTACTTTACTCAGTACCTGCCAGGTGCTGGGACTTAACTCCATTCTTATATGTTGCAATTTGCTGCAGTTTTTGTTGTGTCCTTGCCCAACAACTGTATTTTGTTGGGATTCCTTCCAGTTACTATTTTTAACACAGCCACCATGATGGTCTTCTGTTTCAAGTAAAACAAAATTTGGGAAATTTGTTGGCTTCACCTCAAAGGCTTAATGTAATTCTAACGAATTATGGAAAGCACTGTCCATTGTAAGCCAGAAACTTATTGACACCTACCTTTCTGCTCAGGGCAGGCAGAAGACTCTTGACTTTGGTACCCTGCCGTTCTCACTGAGCTTCCCTTACCAAGTGTTCCTTTCAGCACTCCAGGGTCCCACACCTACATTTCCTTTGGCGTGGTCTGCTTTGGGGAAGAGGAACAAAGCAAAAAAGGGGCCTGTTTAGTGAGTTCCACAATAGGGAACTAACTTAGCCTGCACTAACTTGGAACCCAACATGTGAAGGGAGCTATGCGTAAACACAGCTGTCATGCGCGGGGGTCCATACGGGTCTCTCGCGCCGCTGCCCCTCCCCGCCTGCCTCGGTTTCTGGGTTCCTTTCCCCGCAACACATGCTCACGGGGCTCGGACCCTCACTTTCTCGGCCCTGTGCCTGTGGGGCCATTTACTCTGCTTCCTTCTCCGCCGTGAGGGGGAGCCAGCGGGCTGGCCCCACACGTG